GTATTGTGGCTCCACACCAGGCTCCAGGACAATGGAAAAGTTGAGAGTACTTTGTATTGGTTACCTGGGCTGCTGTAACAAATCCAACACTTCTGGTGGCTTAAGGAAATTCATCCTCTAAGGACTGGGCGGGCAGGGCCGGGGAGGGACGGTGGGGGTGTGATGGGGTGCCATTAGCTCAGTTAGTGGAGTGTTTAACTAACATACAGGAGGAAAAATATTCCAGTATCTCATAAAACAGGAATGGTGGTGGCATCTGTAATCCCAATGCTGGGGAGGTGATGGTAGAGGGGAGAGAGGCCTTCCTCTACTACAAAAGGAGTTGGAGGCGAGCCTGGGCAAAGTGAGACATGTCCTCACTGATAATTACATAGATCTACCCGTTCAGTTTCCAGACATGTTCTGAAGCAGCTAAGTAACCTTTTCAATGCAACGGCATTCTGTTTGAGGGCCTAAAGCAGGACCACTTTCAAGTATAGACAACTCAATAATATTACACTGGGGTGTGGTAGGCGTGGGGGCTGGAGAGAAGGCTCAGCGGTTTCTTTTGATGTTTTATGGTACTGCTAAGGGTCCAAACTAAAGATTCTCCCTGTCCTAGATTTTTTTTTTTTAAATCACATTTACCCAAAGTTCTAGGCTTTATAAGCGAAAGTACTAATTTATTGAATCATGTCTTGAAGGCTTCAGATGACACTTCACAGAGCTGCAGAGGCTTGTCAGGGAGTGTAGTAGGTCTAGTGACTGGGGAGATGCCTCAGTAGATAAGAGTGCTTACATGAGGGCCTGAGTTAGAATTTCCTATGGGGGGAAAAACTGGGCATAGCCACACTCCTGTGACCCCCAGCATTGTGAGGGCAGAAGCTCACTGGGCAGCAAGGCCTGAAGAAGTGGAGAGGTCCAAATCTTCAGGTTTAGTGAGTGACTCTATCTTCAGAGAAGACAGAGAGGTAGAGTGGAAGACGGCTTGCAGCCTCATCTGGCCTCTGCACAAGCACATATCACACACATATATGACCCCTCCTGTTCAAACAGAAACATTTTAAATTAAAAGAATAAAAAGTTAGTCTAGAGTAACAAGGTGGCTAGGGACATCTACCCTGTGGAGGACATAAGATTTTTGTGGATCTCTTTGCCCATCCTCACCTTCAAGCCTCTGAATAAAATTATTTGACCTGAAAATTTGTAGTCTATTTCATGCCTCTTAATTTCCTCCCAAAGACAGTGTTATTCTTTTGTTTAAAAAGAAGAAAAGAGAAATGCTGAGACAGACATACTGACTATAAGTTTATTTGAAGGCCTGGCAGAATGGGGAGACAAAGAAGAGGAACAGGGTTAAATGGCTGCCCGCCATGGCCGGTCGCCATAGAGAGACAGAAAGAGCATAGGTGGGAGACAGAGTAGAGAGAAAGCAGAGATAAAGCAGAGCAGGGAAACAGAGAGAGGGAACAGAGAGCATAAATGGGCAGGGACTTGTCTTTTAAAGGGGTCCTCTGCACCTGCGTGCAGACTTAGTTCCCATGGAACCTTGGGCTGACCAGGGTACTGCCTGTTCCACCAGGTAACAGGGGCAGGCCAGCATAATGCCTGAACCTTTCAGACAGGACTTATATTTTTTAAATATTTTAAGAAACTCTTGTGTCTTTTCTCATGTTGACACTATAATTATTTTGCTTTTCCCCCTTGGAGACAGGGTGTAGCATTGGCTGGTCTGGTACTCACTGATGTGTTTTCAGGTGGGCTTGAACTTACAGCATTTCTCCTGTAGCAGCCTCTGTAGCACTGGAATTACAGGCATGTACCACCATATCTTTCTGTTTCATTTAGAAAAAGAGCAAAGTTTAAAAGTTGTAATTGAGCCAGGTGTGGTGGCACACACCTTTGTAGATCTCTGTGAGTTTGAGGCCAGCCTGGTCTACAAAGCAAGTTTCAAGACAGCCAGGACTGTTATACAGAGACACCCTGTCTTGACAAACCAAAAACCAACCAACCAAACAAACCCAAAACTTGTAACTGAAATCAACAGAGAGCTGGGGATATAGCTCAGTATAGCAGGGCACTTGCCTAGTGTGTGTGAGACCTTGGGTTTGCATGCCAGTACTGTAACAATACATGAGCAAGAGGCAGAGGGGGGGAAGAAGAAGAAATTACAGATCTATAAAGAGTATTGTAAAAAGAAAAAAAGTCACAACCCCCTTTCTTCTGTTAAATCTTGTTTTAATGAACTAATTCTTTTCTTTTTTTTTTTTTT